CCCTGAAGCATGTATTATGCGCACAGTTCGAAGATTTGTCATCAAACTGCCGACTTCTAAAATTTACGTCGGATGTCCTACCGTTAAGCTCCAATTGACGCGTCTCCTAATTGTGTCGATTATTCGTATTCCCTGTTGTAGTTTGATATAACCTAGTGTTGTCTGCACTGCACAATTAACAGTTACTTGTTAAAATTGTGAACTGTAACAAATGCCATTTCGACTTCTGGAATGTGTTACCTATGGCTCGACATTAGCCCGTTTCTTAATATATTGTGGGTGTGCTGTCTCTAATTGCCAAAAACGGGTTCCCAGAAATTCGAGATGCCCCATGTAAACTGTATTTTCTACTCAAATTTGAAAAAATTCAGAATCCCGGGATAAGAATTGTAGTTCATGTTTTTCTCGCTGTAATAAATTTGTTGGTTTGCTGACGTTTCGAACAGCTGGGCCGGCCGTCCTTTTTCGAAGCGTATACTAACTTTATCGATGAGCAAATTTAAAGTTGCGGCTGTACGTGTTGGCCGTGTGCTGATCGATTTTTCTCCGTTCGCTTCTTGGCCTTCCGTGTGGATTTCGGCATAGCTTGACGGCAGTTGGTGTTCTATTCCGTCCCCACGGTAGAGGATGCTGGTAATCCTGCTCCTTCTTCTGGTGGTTTCGTCAGAGGGCCGTCTCCGTTTGCAAATCCTGACTTCGGTTTGACCGTGTCCTGTCCTTTAATTACGTGACGGCGTAGGACTTCGTAGGCCACGGGCAGGTCCAGATGCCTGTTGACAGGGTGGGCCTCTGAGTACCATGTCGCAAGCATCAGTCTTTCCGCTTTTAAGGCTTTAGGGCCAATCAGTAGTTGGTCAACTTACGTGAAATTGCGAAGACACTGTCAACGTCCTCATACACGTTTGAACAACTTTAATAAATTGTTGACGCCCTCGTTGCGATGTTCTCATTGTTGTTACTGTCTGTGCCGATCAGAACGAACAGACCACCATCCAGGCAAGCTTTGGTTCTGGAGATTGATGTGAAAGGGTGGACTGCTGAGTTTCCTTCGCCCGTCCGTAAAATACATCTTCATTCCAAGCGCTTTTAAACCTGGTACTCTGAAAAGGGCTCTGCAGTCAGTCCAGCTGATTAACATAGCTCCATGGTCGAATTCAACATTGCAGGTTTATGCATGAATTGGGATCCGCTGTCGCTCTCGGTTCAATAATACGATGGCATTTTCTTACTTGGTAATACCCCTCAGTCATAACAGTCAACACTAGACCAAATCACCAGCTTCACTGCAGCTGTTGGTCTGACGATTGATATACGCGA